TATTAGACTTCTAGCCTCCAGAACTGTAAGAGAATAAATTGTTATTGTTTTAAGCCACCCAGACACCAGACAGTGGCCCCAGCAATCTCAAGTAGGCCAATAGGCCACTTAAGGTGACCCCAGGTAGAATACCTAATGAGTCTTTGCCCTCTGTTGATTGTAGTACTTGTCACCTTTCATGATATTTCCCCGTCTGTCAGTCATTTATCAAGTGTCCACAAGATGGCAGGCACCACCTAGGTACACACAAACCAACCTTGGAGTTCCTGGTCTTCTGTGTTCAGGTGACTCAGGGCCACACAGACAGTGAAAGGGGACACCATCCCTTGAGATTTCTGCCTGCAGAGCCCCCACCCTATCGTGAGCCTCCCCACATAGCACCCTGATCCCTCAACCCTGGCTGCACCTCTGAGCCATATGGGAGGGGCCAAGGTGAGCCACCCCAGGGGCAGAGTTGTCCTTGGTGGACAGGGACCTCCTGACTTTGTAGGTTTCTAAGCTCCCAGCTGACTAATGAGCATTTGCGGTTGATGATCAGAGGGCTGACCTGATGGGATGCCTCAGAGTCCCGGATGCTCCTGAGCTAGGCTGTCTGAGCCCTCCCAGGGGTCTCAGTCAGTGGGTGGGAATGGGCCTGAGACTCTGCCCTTCTGTCTCATTCCTGGTCCTGCTGCTGCAAGTACAGGGACTGGACTAAGGCCCTCCTGTGCCCCCTCAGGCAAGCCTCCTGACAACTCAGCCTCAGGTATTATCACTCCAGTTTACTAGGAGGGCCTGCCTCAAGGGGGGGCTGTAGCCTCAAGGTGTCATGGTTGCTCAGCTTGGGTTTCAGGCAAGCCCCCAGGGCAGGTTCACCAGTTCCTAGAACATTTCTACCTGACAGGCCTTGGGGCAGGGGGTTTGTCTGACCACATCACTCACCCTGTCCCTTTGCAGGAAGAGCACTAGGTCTGCACTCTGTTTTTAGCAGAGCCTCTCTGATTCACACCCCAAACTGGAGGTTCCCAGAGGCAGCTTCAGACAGAGCAGATGCTTGCAGGTGACAGTCTGCTGGGTGGCAGACTGCCTTGGGTTGGTAGCTAGGACTGTGCTTGTATGACTGGCCATTTCCCTCAGGTGCAGGGGTGAGTGGCACCATGGACCTGCCCCTGTAAAGCCTAAGCCCTGCCTCTTGGTCCTCAGCTCACTGGTGGCCCCAGGTGAGAGGTACCCAAGAAGCACTTGTTCAGAAAGGCCACCCTGTTTCCATGTATCTTGGGATCTCCTTGACCATTTGCAACATGGGCTCTGCCCAAGTTCCAATGACTGGCTTTCCTTTCCTTGCTCTGGCTGGCCTGGCCCAGCCCATTGGTTTGGATCTCCCAGGTAATGGGCAGGTGA